TCATCTTTAGGCCAGTTCTCTTCTTCTTAATTGCTACAGTTCTATTATAAACCCTGATATCTGGTAGAACAGACCCTCCCACTCCCATCTCTTCAAAAAGCACTGCGCTTGGACTTTGAATTTCCTAACAATCTTTTTCTTTAAGTTCCACAACAAAACCTAATGGTGTTTTGACTGGAATTACACTGGGTCTATAGATAAACAGGGGGTAATTCACATCTTCACAACACATAAACATGATCTATTTATTCATTTATAGGCTGTCCCCAGGTTATGAATGAGACAGGTTCTGAAGGGTTCGTTCTTCGGTTGACTTTTTATGTAAGTTGGAACAAGTGTGTTTACCTCTCGCCTGTCACAGCCCCTTTTCGTAAGTCTGAGTCCTGTGTCAGTTGGAAGTTTGCACCTCAGGGACTGCCTGCATTTCGGTCTTCTTTACTTTCTCTCAATAATATTTTATAATTTTCTGCAGAGAGGACTTTTAGATATTTTCTTAGATTTATTCTATGTACTTATTTCTCAAAATTTTTGGTGCTTTCATAAATGGTATTTTTGAAAAAAATCCTTTTTTCACTTTCCTGGTACATGTTATAGAAATACACTGACTTTTTTATATTTTGACTCTATATTCAATGATCTTATTAAACTCTTATTGATCTCATAGTTTTTCTGTTGAGTTTAGAATTTTATGTATCCAATCATTCAACATTCAAATAATATCATAACTTTTCAACTATCATAATTTTTTCTTTTTCTTACCCCATGGCACTGGCTGGGACCTTCAGTACAATGTTGGATGGTGGTGGCATTTATGGGCATCTTATCTCATTTCTGATTTCAAAGGAAATCTTACAACATTTTACTATTAAAAGTGATATTCAAAGTAGTTTTTTTGGTGTAGTTTTTTATCAGATTAAAGAAATTCCTTCCTATCATTTATTTATTTATTTATTTGAGACAGAGTCTTACTCTGTTGCCCTGGCTAGGGTACCAAGGCTTTATAGCTCACAGCAACCTCAAACTCTTGGGCTCAAACTCTTGGGCTCAAGCGATCCTCTTGCCTCAGCCTCCCAAGCAGTACCCAACGTGAGCCCCAGCTAGTTTTTCTATTTTTAATAGAGATGGGGTCTCACTGTTGCTCAGGTTGCTCTCAAGCTCCTAATCTCAAGCAATCTACCCACCTCAGCCTCCCAGAGTGCTAGGATTATAGTCGTGAGCTGTGGCACCTGGCTTCTATCCTTTATTTTTAGAAATCATGAATAGGTACTGATTTTAACAAAGTCTTTTCTGGCAACTGAATAATTTTCCCCTTTTAGTCTGTTATTATGGAAAATTATATTGGTTGTAATGTTTTATGCAGAAATTCTCCATCTTAAGTTTTAAAAATTTCTTCGTGTTTAATAAACCTAGATTTTTTTTTTTTTTTTTTTTTTTTTTTTTTGAGACAGAGCCTCAAGCTGTCCCCCTGGGTAGAGTGCCGTGGCATTACAGCTCACAGCAACCTCCAACTCCTGGGCTCAAGCGAGTCTCCTGCCTCTGCCTCCCAAGTAGCTGGGATCACAGGCGCCCGCCACAACGCCTGGCTATTTTTTGGTTGCAGCCATCATTGTTGTTTGGCGGGTCCGGGCTGGGGATTCGAACCTGCCACCTTAGGTGTATGTGGCTGGCGCCTTAGCCGGTTGAGCTATAGGTGCTGAGCCAAACCTAGATATTTTAAAGTCTATCTTATTTCAGTGTCCAAAGCCCCATGATTCTATTTACATACTCTATTTTCCTGCTGATTATTATATATGTCTTATTTTCTTATGCACCTGGTTATTTTTGCTTAAAACTACACACCATGTATTGTACTTATAGTATCTTCAATAGAAATAATTGGAAGCCAAGGATGACGTCATCTTCCTCCAGAGAGGATTTGTATGTTTCTGCCAGGTACCTGGTGGCACTAACACCATGGGTGCCTGAGGGCACTACCACTCCTGACAGCTTTCGCCTGTGATCCCTGAAAGGGAACAGAAGCTGGAGCTAAGCTCCCAACCCTGCAAGAGCCTGTCCACTCTGGTTCTCCTTCACTTCCAGGGCACACTCTTTGGGATGGCAATGTAAGCAGCTCTACCTGATAGGCCCTGGACCCTGATTCTTGTCTCACAGCTCAGGAAGTCTTCAGCAGCACACCTCAGTCTCTTAGCTCCCTGCAGCTATGGTGAATGCCCCCAGGAGAAGTCAATCCTTCAGCCTCTAACCCCCTCCCACCACTAATCCTGGCCTGTTTTTAACTTTGATGCCTTCAAAAAGAAGTTTTTAGATTTTGTCCAACTTTTTAGTTTTCAATAGAATGGTACTGTGAATTACTTAGCTTGCTACTGCTGGAGTGGAAATCTTTGCTTAATTTTCTAATGTTAAAGCCAGTCTTGCACTCCTGGAGTAAGCCTGAGTTGGACATGATTTATTACCTTTTTGTATTTATTGCTGGATGTGAATAAATCCTTAATGTGGGCTTTCCAGGGCCATGTGAAGAGAAGTAATGGTAGAAAGGCTAGGAACCAAGAGGAGCCCTTGGCTAAACATATGTATCCCTTATGCGGCCTTGAATTTGTCACCTAACTGGCTATACTATCAGAAATCCCAGCAAAGACTCTTGTGCACTTTCCCACACCTCTCTCTCTTAAAGCAAATAACCCCAGGGCAGAGTTGGGGGGTCATGGACACCTAGTTAGTTAATGAGACTGCTTTCCCTACCGAGAACAAAAAGTTATTCATGGGAGAAGGAAGGAGAAAGACCAGTAATTTGCAAGAATTTCTCCCTGACCCTGGTTGGGAAGGGCCACAGAATGGAGAGATCAGGAGAGTGAGCAGTGTAGCAGGTCAAAGGCAAAGCCTAGACCAAGGAGGACAGGACCTTGTTCTCTGTTCAAGCTGGATGGGGCAGTTTCCCTGAGCACGCTCTGGGCCTGGTGTATGCAAGTTGTCTCCGACAGCTAGCCCGAGACCCGTGTGGTGGGCAGCAGCTCTGGAACTGGCCACCTCCTGTGTGGTGTCTACCACCTTTCTCCTTGAAAGGGCACAGTAGCTCTGGAGTTTTTGGAGGATAGGGACTCACTGATAAGCCCCAAGCAAGCTAGCGCACTATCTGGGCAGTGCCCAAGCCCATACCAGCTCCTGCTCACACATGTACTTATCTGAAAACCAGACTGCCGGGGAGCAGGTGCAAGGAGGGCAATCGCCCTGTTATTTCTTCCCTTTAGTTCCTGCACTGCCCGATGGAGCGGGTTGCCTGGGACGTTAGAGGAAGGGGGTGCGGGGAACGTGGGGATCCAGGCGGAGCGCAGGGGGCAGTGCCGCCCAGCTCAGCCCCACTTGGCCAGGTTAATACCTCAGACTGACAAGGTCAGAGCAGGGGGCCCCAGCCAGGCTGCCTGCAGACCCTCCCTGGGGTTTCTAGCCCCTCGAGAAAGGTGGGTTACTAAGTCCTGAGCAGGGGCCACTCCTGGGTCCTGGAATACAGAGAAGGCAGCTGCAGAGCAGGAACGTCTCGCCAGCCAACCTAAGCTTTCATTTGAGGAACACAGGAAAAGGGAATAATCAACTCACACCCCGATTTATCTGAGAGGGAAAAATGAAAATAAAAAATAAAGCATTGTATTTATTTGTTTTCATGTTTAAGAAGCCATTCTCCCCAGTAACAAATAAAATACACCATTCTGTCAAGCTCAGCCTGAAAAAGAAGTCTCTAATGGTGGGATTTTGAGTATTAGCAAGTCTATACGGGAGGCTTGAGGGCAGTCAGTGAGCCCATCGAATGCCCTGGACCCTCCTCCCCCCACATTTGGGCTGGACCTGAGGACTGAGTCACGTAGCTCCTACTTGCCCCATGTCAGGATCTCTGAGTCCCCTGTCCTGCCCACAGCCAAAGTCTCATCCCTTCCAGTTTTCCTTATTCCCTAAGACCCACGTTCACCCCACCTCACTAGGTTCTCCCCACTCAGACCACTGTGGGGTCCTGGTTCTGTGCTCCCTGATCAGGGCTCTAAGGACCCAGCTCTAGCCTCTGGACCATGCCCTGTCCCCAGAAGGCCCAACCCAGAGGCCACCTGCCTCTCCCTACAAATAGCTTTTGGCTGTGAGTATAACAGTATATATTCATATGATTGGCAAGAACAGGGTCTTATATTTTTCTCTGTTTTTTTTTTAATATTAAAATCTAAAAAAAAATTACTGAAGAATAATCTTTGCAGAAAAATGCACAGATTTTAAGTATACAGCTCACTAAACTATTATAATGTGAACTTACCAAGGTCACTGTCACCCAGCTCCAAATGAAGGGCAAGACCCACAGATAAACAGTCTGAGGAATCCTGCCACCAGCCAGAGGAGGGTCAGTGCGAATGTCTGTCGAGGTATTCTGAGGCTTCTCAGCTGACAAGGCCCGAGAAGATCCCAACATCTCCTATTGTGTCATCTGTCGCTGTGATGTAACCTTCTGCAGAGAAGATGTGGTCCACTCTGGGTGGACCCCTGGCTGGGTGGAGGCCCCCAGTGTCAGGACCCCACTGTGTGTTAGGTGCTTGGGGATGTGGAGTCTGAATGACTAGATGAATTTCGACCAGGGAATGGGGGCCCCAGTTCCAAGTCTTTTTTAGATGTCACAAGTGGACAAATGACCAGGTCTCCACTCAGACTAGAGCGACATTATTACCTCTGCCCTGTGGAGATAGCCCTGGGCCGTAGGAGGCAGTTATCCTTCTCATCTATGCGTCCAACAAACCTGGATTAAACACCACCTGAGCCCAGGGCTGGCACCTAAGGCAGGTAGCATCCCTGCCCTCAGAGAAAAGGCTCTGGCACCCACCATCTGGGGAGCTAGCAAGGAAAACTTGCGGGGTCTGGACCCCTGCCCCACCCTGCCCCAGGCCTGGCTCCCCGGGGAGGGTGTTGGGTCCACCACCAGCCTATGGTTAGATAGGATGGGGCCTTGACCAGCCATCTCTGCTCTTCTGCAGGCCCTGCCATCCCAGTGGGTGTGGACGTGCAGGTGGAGAGCCTGGACAGCATCTCGGAGGTGGACATGGTATGCAGCGTCTGTGACTGGGAGGCCTCCAGTGAGGGACCATATGGGGCAGTGTGCTGTCAGAGCCCATGTGGCTGGGGTGCCGTCAGGGCCCATGTGACTGGAGTGCCATTAGGGCCCGTGTGGCTGGGGTGCCATCAGGGCCTGTGGCCAGGTGGCCTTTGGTGGTGCAGGCTGTGCTGCGCCGGCACAGGGGAGCTGGAGCTGGTACAAGGGGCCTTGGGTGTTGTCTCAGCTGCAGTGAAACCTTAAGCAGGGCTTCTCAAATTGCATGGGTACAGTCACTTTGGGGCTGGTTAGATGCAGATTCCTGGGCCCCACTGCACACTTCCTGGTGCAGAATCCCTGGGGGTGAGACCAGCACTTCCTTCTTTCAACACATTGCTGGGGTGCTGCAAGTGGGTAAACGTGCCCCATTTATTTGGAGGACACTGAATTTTGCAGATCTCGGATTCTCAGCCCCGCCTTGGCCCTCCATGTTTACCCCAACTTCGCCATCTATGCCATCCCTTGTCCTGTAGAGGCCGGCCACGGAGGGGACTGGCCCTCCATGCCCCGAACCCATCTCCTTCTCCACCTGTGGACTTCTCTTTCACTTTGCAAACTTCCTCTTTTGTCTGCCTGGGGACTTTGGATATACTCTCTCTCCGGCCCTCCCCACAGCTGCCGCCTTATCCTTCAGGCCTCAGTTGAGATAAGAGCATCCCTGATGGAGTTTCTGTCTTTCCTTCATAGCCCCTATCAGCATTTACCACTGTACTGCATATTTATTTGGGGGTTTCTTGTATGTTGGTTATCTCCCACACGTGACTACAAGCTCCGTGAGTGTAGAGATTTGTCTTTTACTTTTTATCCCTATATCTCCAAGCCTATTTCAGTGGGGGTCCTCAAAATGTGTGGAATGAATGGAGGTGGGAGAGGCGCCTCTTCCTACTGCAGTGTCATGGTGTGCCCTTGAGGGTGGGGCTGCCTGGTCCCTAAATGACTCAGCACAGTGGAGCTGCTGTGATTGACACAGAGGCTGTGCACCCCTCGGCTCCATTAGCTGGCAAAAATGGGGTCATACAGGTATGACAGTTTCTAGATGCTGGACTGTACACTGCCTGCCCCTTTGGATGCCCAACATGTGGGTCCAGCCGTGGAACCAGATCTGGGACCAGTCTGCTTTAGACGGATATCTGCCTCCCATCCCATGTGGCTCAGGCTTCCAGGAAGAGGTATCAGAATGACTTGCCTGTCTTAGAGCAGGCATTGACTAGTGGAAAAGCAGGCAGACTCCAGCACCAAGGGGGGGCGGGTAGGTGCCATCCAAGGTGGCCATGCATGGCTAGTATCTATGAGCCTGCAATGTGGTACTTCCCCTGGGTCATCTCCCCCAGAGCATGCTGTCAACCTGTGTACCCTAGAGGGGAAAGAGCCAGATGGGAGCACTTGGCTGGCCTCTTCCTACTCTCTCCTGTGGATGGAGGGGTGTTCCCAGCAGGTGCTGGGAACCAGTCAGTGACAGGCCTCACCCAGGCACAGTTATAGGGCCCATTCTTTCTTCTCTTGCTGGGGCTCCTTCTGGGCCTGGCACCACTGTGCACTCTTCCCATCCTCCCTCCACCTGCTCCCAGAAGAGGATCTTTGGGGCAATTATCTTCCCATTTGCTCCTTATGCCTTGGCTCTGGCTGTGGAGAAGGGCCCTACTCTTAGTTTAAGGCAGGACCAACTTTCGGGCTGAGATAATAGTAGGTATACAGCTGTCCAAACCACCCCCTCTGTCCCTCTGTTTTCCAGGCAGTGATGACTTGCTGAGCACCTGCTGCATGCCTGGCCAGGCACTCAGTCCACATCTTCCTTCAAGGGTCTCATGGTCTAAGTGTAGAACTTCCTAGAGCAGTGGTTCTCAACCTGTAGGTCGTGACCCACAGGAACTGTATTAAAGGGTTGCGGCATTAGGAAGGTTGAGAGCCACTGTCCTAGAGGGTCTGAGATGTGGGCTCTGCAAGTGGCCACCAAGCTGCCATGGAGTGGCTAGATGGCGGTAAGAACCTGGGGCAGAGGTGCCAAGGCCATGCTGCAGGGCTGCTGCTCAGTCTCCCGGTCTCTGACCTCACGGTCATCCTAATGAGCCCTACAGATTGCAGCAGGGCCATTGCCCAGACTGGCTGCAGGGCTGCAGAACTGTTCCCTTTGAATCTTGAGCCTGAGCCCCAGCCCAGCAGAGTGGTGGACGATGAGCTGACAGCAAGGAAGGAGGCGCCTCAGTCATTTCTTCCCGTCCTCCCCTGGTGCCTGTAGGACTTCACCATGACCCTGTACCTGAGGCACTACTGGAAGGACGAGAGGCTGGCCTTCCCCAGCACCAGCAACAAGAGCATGACCTTCGACGGTAGGCTGGTGAAGAAGATCTGGGTCCCTGATGTCTTCTTTGTTCACTCCAAAAGGTCATTCACGCACGACACCACCACTGACAACATCATGCTGAGAGTGTTCCCAGATGGCCATGTGCTGTACAGCATGAGGTACTGGCCAGGGCCAGAGCTCCTTTTCCCAGTAGGCGTGGTCAGCCCCTGGGCACTGATAAACCTGTCACTGTGGGTGGGGAGAGGGCTGTGCAGGATGGGGTGAGCTCTCTGATGCCAGAAGGAACCATGAAAACTGAAATGGCTCCATAGTAGGTGGCAACTTCTTGTCCCTGGGGCTGTCACGATGGGTGGGATTAGGGGACTGCTTTGTCCTGAGCCAGTGCCCTTCTGAGTGCTGACCCTTCCATCTCTGACAGCCTATGATTTTAGCTGATTGGTAGTAAGGATTAAAAGAAAAAATAACACCAGTGGCTACTGATGATGTATGCTACTGTGGACAGGCTTTGGGACTAACTGAGCAGTCTTAGTCCATGTGACCCTGCCGGCTTGTACAGGTCACCAGAACTAAATGCTAATACCTGACACTTCCTGGCCTGGGAAGGGATGGGGGAGGTGGCCCCGCTGGCCAGGGCAGTGCCCAGAGGAGGGTGGCCAGAAGAGAGCATACCAGCCCTATGAGGGGGACCCGGTAGCAACTGAAGTTCTGCTACAGAAGTGCAGACACTGCACGCTGAGGCTCTTACTCAGATGCTGTGTTCCCGCTGCACAGGCAGCAGCCAGGAGGTGCCTGTTCTTGGTGGCAGGTGCATCTGCCAGAACTTCCTGCACAGACTCACTTCTGTGTCTGTGTGTTGTGTAGGATCACGGTCACTGCCATGTGCAACATGGACTTCAGCCACTTTCCCTTGGACTCCCAGACCTGTTCTCTGGAGTTGGAAAGCTGTAAGTATCAGCTTTCCTGACTCCTTCACTGTCTTCCCACTACAGTCTTGGTGCCATTCCGTGGTCAGGAGGCTGAGTGCCAGACCTGTGTGCACCTGTCCTCTCCTGTGGGCCCAGGACAGGCACAGGACTGCCCTGTTGCTTCTCCCTGTGTCAGGCGAAGGAGTCAAAGTAACTTATTTTCCTCTCCCCAAAGATGCATATACAGATGAAGACCTGATGCTGTACTGGAAGAATGGGGACGAGTCCCTGAAAACAGATGAGAAGATCTCCTTGTCTCAGTTTCTGATTCAGAAATTTCACACGACTTCTAGACTGGCCTTCTACAGCAGCACTGGTAGCTCCCTTTTGACATAGTCTGATTCAAATGTGGAAAAAACACATTTGAATTCTTCTTTAGCCTTAACCTAAAAAAAACACATTTGAATTCTTTAGCCTTAATGAAAATAAATTTGGATTACTAAAATAATGCATAGGCCTACATAATATAAATAGCACTTAAAAGTAGAAACCTAAAAGTAAAGAAACTGCCATCTTCTGAAATCCCATCACCAAAGGTGATCAGTCCTAACTATTTATTTGGTAGAGTGCCATGGCATCACAGCTCACAGCAACCTCAAACTCTTGGGCTTAAGCAATTCTCTTGCCTCAGCCTCCCAAGTAGCTGGGACTA